CAGACACTTACTAGCTTCTACAAACACATAAGTATACAGAGACAGGGTTTGATAAATTGATGTGCCAGATAGTTAGGTATATAACGCATAAATATGCATAAATCATATTTACATGCATGAACTGATACTAAAACACTCAACTTGCAGCTTTGACTGTGAGGTTGTGCCACTTGTTGGAGTTCATGTCTCAGAATCTTGATTGATGAACAGCACTCTGGACAGTGAACCGCGTATGAAGGCATGACCAGTGATGCCAGATATTTTTTGGGGAACATGATCAGAACCTCGGTGAGTCATTCCCCCTAACAATCCGACCCGCAAACTGGATCAAACTAGTAGCTAGCCACAGGTGAATCCAATGGCCAACCGGTGTGTGGCAGAATCCGGACCCTTGCCCAGGCAGATGGGGAGGAAGACCGCGAGCACCTTGAGGTGTGACATCAAACATTTTCTTGCTAAGGCCATGGCAGAATCATGGCAGATAATTTAAGATGAATCCTATGACTTTGTACTGCATGATTCGCTTCATGGATTCCTCATGTTTTTTCTCAGAAACCTTTTGGCCCCCCAAAGGCGGTTCGCTTTACGCCTTGTCATGGATTGCAAGTCAAACACACCAAACCTGCCAGTCAGTGTTTGACCTGTAACTTTGTGTGGGGGCTGGTTCAAGCTGAAGGGTGGAAAGCTTGGTTTTATTGATAATAACCATTCCTTGCCAGGGGCACCGAAGGAGTCAGGTGATCGGTTTGCGCACGTTCGCCAAGTGCAATTTGAGTTCTGATATTAGGCATGGTGCCGCCGATTTGCAGAGGAGCGGGTGTCTTAGATCAGATCAGATCTTAAGGATGCTCCTTGGCCATGGCGTGCTGAGACCGTGTGTTGACTGCCTCAGATAGGTCATCGGCACAAATAACATCAAACCGATCAAACAGCACCATGCAATCTACTGTGCATATAGGTCTGCAATTTACGCATCTATGGTCGACATTTTTTGACTACTGTACTTACTTTTACTGATGATCACCGCAATTGTTTGACAAGAGTCAAGAATTAAGTATGACATGCGAAGTTATTTTTACCATTGCAACATTTTGCACTTGAGCACAAGTCTGAAGGGCACCCAGCATCACCCGGCTATATTGGTTTTGGACACTGTTCTAGCTTTGGAAGGTCCTGAATCCTGGAACCCTGCCCCTAGTGTCTCCCGGACCCGGAATGCTTACCAAATTGCTGGCTTGACCCGCCCGTTGTATTTCTCAGCAGTTGGCAATTCGACATGAAAGAGCTCAGACTGAGATTATTGTTGCTTTGGTGTGCAGTCTGAACAGTTTCCGTGCAACAGTGAATCTCACAGCCTAAGAGTGGACTCAGGTAAGTTACAGCAACTTTGCATCAGTTCAGAACCTACTAGCGATGGCCTCCAACCTAATAACAATTGCCTCCAACCTAATAACAATAGCCTCCAACCTAGTAGTGGTGGCCTCCAACCTAATAGCAACGGCCTCCAACCTAAGAGCGATGGCCTCCATCAATACATCGTCATGTATATCACTGGGACCATGAACGGAGAGACGCAGAGATGCGTGCGCCCAAATCGCCCAACATGAACACCAGCTCCCTTGCCCCCTGCGATGGTCGGCCGATCAGATGGTTTTGAGCTTGCAAAGTGTTGTAGACATTTGTGGATCACGTGATGTGACCGAAGAGGAACTTCAACCCGAGCAACTCTTGTGGATTCATGCCCTAGGTTGGGTCAATCGGACTTCCGCACAATTTAATGCATGTCGCTTCCTTCCTTGGAAGCCATGTACATGTATGCCCAAGGTGTGAAGCGAGTGCCGCTGGATCTGACCTGGAAGAGCTCGGGACTTGAAGGTCTAGTGAGATCTTTTTTATGCGCAGCTCACGTCAATATTGCTGTATTGTTTGACAGTTGCTGTTTTAAGTTCGGAAGCGTTTCTGCATCCAACGTGCGGCTCTCAGTCGTGGCGGTTGTGCGTCGGCTTGCTCTGACATGTGGGCGAACGGTGTTGCTGCATTTCACTGTTCTTTGCTGTCCCCAAGACAGTCTCCCTGCTCAGGCACTCAAATCGGCTGCTTGTGATTAACTCCGAAGGTGAAGCCAAGATACTGAGGAGCTTTGGCCTGAGTGGGGCCACTTTCCCAGGAGCCACTTCGCCAAGAGCGACGAACAAATCAGTCAGACATGGAGGTAATACCTACCATTTGCTTGTGAATCTTGCGCTTTGTCTGCAGCAAACCACAACATGATACAATACATATGAATACTGCACGCGGCAATGAAGTAACCTTTGAGACGCAGAGGATCCTTTGCTTCAAACCCTGAAGCGCATTGGAGGTTGTGCCGACCAGTGGCGAGCAAAGGCAATTGGAGCTGGAGTCGGCACCATGACCGCTGGGCCCCCAAAGTCACTTAGACCTCAAATCTCCAGAGGAAAGTCGCCGAATTGAAGATCAGTGAAGTACACTGCAGCCTGAAATCAGAGGTCGTCGTACTGGTTGCCTGGCTTCTCTTGAGAGGCAGCACAGGTGGGTTCTGACCGACGGATTGAACCTGGGTTTTGCCGAACGGTTGAAGTCGGTCAGAATAATTGCTGGAACCTGACCCAGGAGGTTCAGACATCTTGACCTTCAATGAGGCGAACCTTCGTTCTTTCGGGTGGCGGAGAGGCTTTTCGGTGTAGTATGGTATGTCAAGCTTCATGCGGAAAGAGTTGATTGATGGCAACGTGGACATCGTGTCCATGCTCAATAGAGGTGAGCCACGGCAGCCACGAGCAGGAGATGCAAGGCAGAATCCAGGCTAGGTGGCCATCTTCAAGTTGCTGGTTGCCTGTGCTAGCTTGTGCTTCCGTTGCAACGCGCGGCATGCTCCTCGCCATTTTTGTGAATTTTTCATTGGGCTATTGGAGGCGAGCGAGGCCATGAAGCAGAGAGAAAGCTGGGAGAGCATTTACAGGTATATGCACCCAACAAGGACCAATGACCTCTTTGTCGTGGAAGAGCCACGTCGCCAATATCCATGGGAGTAGGTATTTTTTGAGTTTTCAGGATGGCTTTAGCAAGTCGAACAGTGTAGTAGATGATAAGAGCGATGCAGGACGGTGGATTCCACCAACAATGCCAGCGACTGGTCGACTCCCCTCACGACCGCAACAACTCCAACGACCACTCCGACCACTCCGACCACCACGCCCACCACTCCCACCACAACCAAAGGCCCAGATTAGAGTCATTCACTTTTTTTCATTGAATCAAGCTAGTATGTTGGCATGCAAATCAAGCCCTGCCCGGGACGCGTCTAGCTCTCGCCCAGAGGACCCACAGCTCGTCCAAGCGTGACTCCGCCTGTCGCGAGCTATGTCCGAATCCCAACTGTCAACCCACAGAATTATCATGCCTCGATATATTTCCACCGTTGCCCGTTGCAGGCCAACAACTATGTCTCCAACAATCCACTGAGGAACCGGGCTTTTCATCGTGCACTGAAATGATGAAGACTTGAAGACCTGCTGTCCTGAAGATTCATGAACATGTGAAATCCCAGGGTGAATTTTGGCCCTTGGCGAGGATTCCAGTATATCCTCAACGGAGCCAGAACTATTTCATCATCATTGGCGACTGGGGAAAAGCTGGTGGGTCAGATGCTCAATTGCCACTCTTGACGCTCAATGGCCAGTGGCCAAGCACAACTTCCGAGGCCTGGCACCTGCCAGTTTGCAGTGGCTGGGAAGTTGAAGAGACCTGCCCTCAAGAGTAGCAGAGCAAGGGATGATTGTCCTGGATGCCCACTGATGCCCGAGCTTTGTTTGCGCAATACGTTCTTTTATGTATGCCGAGGCTTCGTGGAAAACCAGAAGAAGGCCAGATGATCATCCAACCTTGCGCGTGCGCAGTTCGTTCAGATGAATCAGAGATTGGCATGGAATGTTGTAAGGCAGGCAAGAACCTGCTGTTCATAGCATCGGTGGCGGCCTCAATGACGGCAAACAAACGAACAAACAAACGAATGTGTGTTTGCATGCTAGCTTTGCATTTGGTTTTGTGGTAGTGCGTCACTAACAACTCATTAGGTTGGTGACAACTTCTACTGGACTGGAGTTACGCCAGAGGTGTGGCAACTCCAAGCACTCGCTCGACCTCAATGCACTTAATGCCTGCGCAGGCATGGCATGAAGATTGGGAAGTGCCCAAAACTCAGATCGGAAAGTGAAGAAGTTTGACACCTTTGTTGCCGCGATGCCCATGTGCAACCTCCGCACCTTGCCCTCACCATTCGGAGGCCATATGGGCCAAATGACCCAAACTCTCCGCTGTTCCAGGCGTTGTGCGGATGTGGGAACCAGACAGACAGCGGCGATTATATAATAGTTGAGAAAGTGCATTTGCCTTTGGGTTGACCTGTCAGGACCTTAGAACATGTTGATCCGCCGCCATTTGTTTCACGCAGGCCTAAGCCATTTACTTTTGCGCTACGCCATATCGAGCGAACAAGTGCCTTGTGTCGGTGCGTTCACAGTGGTACTCGGAGCTTGAAGGTCCGCTTGCGTGCGTTGGTTGCTGCCCTTTGGGGCCTTGACTTTTGCGCTGCCCGAACTCCGCATTGCATAGTTGGTTTGTGTTGGTGATTGGTTGTGAGCTGCGCTCTATCCCAGTTGCTTGCAAAACCGGAATTTGCTGGGTGTGAGCTTCTATAGACATTGTTGTTGGCTAAGCCATTGCATTGCTAGGGCTACATCCTTGAAAGGTACAGCTTGTGTTTACATTGTGCATTGGTCCTTGACAGCGTCGTTGGACATTGACATTGTGGGCACTGCCCTTTTGAGTTGCGTTGTACATTGGACATTGACTGCGTCTTTGAACTTTGTTGCATTGCATCTCCTTTTTGCTACATTGTACATTGAGCATTGCGTTGCGCATTGAACCTTTTTCTTGGCTTGCTTTGCCTGCAGTTTCATCTTCGACATTTTGTTGGAGCAATGGCTGAAGACGACAAAGGTTCTTCGGCTTGGTACAAGGTGCCAACGTGGGACGGAAACCCCACAGGATTCCGCCAGTTCAAGAAAGAGATGGAATGGTGGATTGCATCATTGGACCCAATTTCCTGTGGAAAATTCAACGTTGCTGCAAGGTGGACATTGAGACAAACAGGAATTGTCAGGGCCAGGTGCGAGGAGTTTCTTCCATCAGAGCTTGAGGGGTCAAAAGAAGTGACAGCTAAAGACCCCGATACTGGCGATGACATTGTTGTTGAGGAAGCCAACCCTTGGAAAGGGCTTCGAAAGTTGGTTGATGCATTGGAAGAGTCGATGGGCAAAACGACCCTTGACCGCAAAGGTGATCTTCGTCGACAATTTTATGTTGAGTTGAGGCGATCACCTGGAGAGCGAATCAGTGCATTTTGTTCCAGGTTCAGGACAATCACTTCGGAGCTCAAAAGGGAAGGCATTAATCTGCCTTCCGATGAATTGGGCTGGTTCCTGAGGAACAAGTTGGGATTGGATACGTTGAGAGTTCAGCTGTTGGACACTGCATTGCGTGGCCGGGAATCGTATGAGGAAGTTGAGGGTGAATGCTTGAGATTGTTTCGTGACCTCCATAGTGAGGACCCTCTTCATCGCCAAAAGGCCACAGAGCGTGCACCGTTGTTGAACAGATTCCTCAACCAGTCCCAAGGTTCAGCCTCCTCTTCCTATAGAACCTCATTGCCGTCGAGTGGAGGTTCGTCCTTTGGCAATCGGTCGTTCAAGAATTCCAGCTTTTCAGGTGGCTCACAAAGGAGTTTCAAACCCTCCCCAAAAGCTCCACCTCGAAGTGCCTTGGTGACTGAGGGCCCAGTTGAAGAGATTGCCGAGGGCGAGGACGATGAGGAAGAACTTGTTCCGGACAATCCGGATCAGATCGGACCGGCATTGGAGGAGGTGCTCACTGCCGAGGCGGAGGTCCTTGCCGCCGAGATCCAAGCCTTGGAGGAGGAAGGACTTGAACCAGATGTCCTAGAGGCCTTGGAATCCGGCGTTGAGCAGGCAGCCGAGTCGTTGGTTACAATGCGTGAGGCACGCCACAAGATCGCAGAGATCAAAAAGGATCGAGGATATGGTAAACAGGGATCCTCGTCCATGCCGAACAAGCCCAAGTTGACGGGCAATCAAGTGAATGGCAAGAAAGCCAAATCCAGTTGCTGGGACTGCGGACAGCAAGGGCATTGGAGTGGTGACCATGGATGCCCAAACCCCGGTGCTGGTTTGTTCAAGCCGAAATCCAATTCGGCAAAGCCTCAAAAGCATGTTAGAGTTGCTGAAGCGTTGACCACCGAGATGACGGTGGATGCTGAAGGTGATGACACCCCAGCCCACGAGGTGATGACCACCTCCCGGGTTAGTCGACCGTCGACCTTGGTCGAAGCATTGCAAGGGTCGCATGAGGTTCATGTTGGACAGTTAGCTTCGCTTTCTTTGGACAAACGTTTGATGGGAGCATTGGATTCAGCTTGTAACCGGACATGTTGTGGGTCGGCGTGGGTTGAGCATTATTTAGCAGCTTTGCAATCGGCGCCTGAGGCTATTCAACAGCTGGTCAGCCGAAGCCAGGAGCAGGAGACGTTCAAATTCGGTGACGGTGGAACACAGAAGAGTTCAGTTCGGATTCGCCTTCCCATGGTTGTCGGCACGGACCTGGTTTTGACATGGGTATCCATTATTCCTGTGGGGAGTCTTGGATTGTTGCTGGGACGTGACTGGTTGGATGGAGTTGGATGCGTTTTGAGCTTTTCGAAGAGAGTTATGCGAGCAGATCATTTGAGTGGACATCACATCCCCTTGAAACAATTAGCTGCAGGACATTTTGCACTACGGCTCATCCCCTCGGAGTGGCCGATTCCAGGCAAGATGCGTTGGCGAAGAGTTGGGCAGGATGGTGTTGTCGCTTTGCAGATTTCACATTCAGATTGGCTTCAACGGAAATTGTTAGCAGTGCAATCGTTGTCAACAAATAGTCATGAGCATTTGTTGTCGGAACACAGCGTTTGCGCAGCAAAGCTTGTTGGAGTGAGTTTTGATGATGGAAGCTGTTTTGATGATTTGGCTCACAGCATGGCTCAAACGCCAACAGCTACCCCGACATCGACTACCTCGACTTCAAGTTCACCCAATCGAGCCGCTGCTCTTGGGATCCATGGAGGAGGCACCCGAAGGCCGCTTCGCCTTCCAGTGGAGGAGAATCATCATCCGTCTCCGTGCAAGACTCCTATGGCACGTGCACGGCATTTGCTTATGGTTATGTCGGCGGCCTTGGCTTCGATTCACGCCATTTCCATACCCTTCCATCAGCAGCATCATGCAGTGGCAGCTTCAAGCCCAGCAGATGGTTTCCAACGGAGCCATGTCCAGACGCCATCATCAAAGAGCTCTTCAATGCCAGGCGTACACAGCTGGAAACTTGAAGGAAGCTATGTGGCTCAGGGATCGCCTTGGATGGCAGACATCCTTCGTGGAGGACCCGATGCTGCAGGGTATGTTGGCCGCAAGGTCTTCAAAAGGAGTGGCGAACAAGATTCGTCAAGAAGCCGTGGCAGAAGCCAAAGCATTGGCCATCAAGGCCAAAGAGGAGGGCAAGGAGCTTCAAGCGGTGAGGGAACTCATCGGTCCAAAAGGAGGTTTACCAGTTCTCAAAACCGACCTCCAGAAGCTGGCATCATTGCTTCACGTCTCGTTCAACGAGAAGACGACTGTCGAGCAGCTCAAAGCAGGCATCAAGCCTGCGGTTCAAGCACTCATGGCAAAAGCTCCAGCGTCATCGATGACCAGCAGTTCAAGTGGAGCAAGTTTTCAGGAGGAGCCTCCGAAGCCTTCCAAAGCTCCATCCTTGGGAGCCCCGACCATCGCAGCTCTGCCAGGACCTGCACCGTCGACGCCTTCGACTACCGTCGGGAACCTTGGGACAGGAGTCAAAATGCAAGATGTTCAAGAACTTCTTTCGCAACAAGATCAAAAGTTCCAGGCAATGCTGAATCAGGTCATGACTCACATGATGTCCTTGCAGGGGAGTCAAATGCCGGTCGGGATTCAGACTCAGGGCACCATGCGCTACGACATGACCGCCAAAGATTCCGAGATGGACGGCCACATGACGCATGGATGGACTCAGCAGGAGATTGCAGCCGCCCAAGAGGGAGGATTCATGACCCCCGAGGAAATGCGGAGGTTGAATTGGGAAGTACAGGGAGACCTGAGGCAGGACGAAGAGGACCTTCTCAAGGGGCCGTTCCTGAACCATTGAATCCATGGGCAGTGCATCAGGAGTTGAAGCCAGGTTTGGCGCAGATGATCAGCCAGGCTTGGGAAAAGCATTGCCGGGATCGAGCTCTGATCTCAAAGACACGATATGAAGTTCTCCAAACAATGCACGAGGATTGGAATCACACCATGTCGAAATGCTTCAACGAGCACTTCATCATGAGGGTCGAGATTGGTCCTTCTCAGGGTCCGGCAAGGCGCCAAACAGCTGGTGCGGTGGCTCAAGCCCAGCGGCCTTCGCCCGACCCGCGAGGGATCAAGAAAGGCCCGGACAAACCACCTTTGGTTGGTGAAATCTACACGGCTACAAGCCAGGTTGCTCGACAGGCCAAACTTCGAGGACACCGTGCTGCCACTTCCATGTCACTTGAAAGTGGTTGGGATTTCCAAAAGGCCGAGGACAGAAAAGCTTGCATTCGAAAGGTCATGGAGGAGGACCCCTTTTGTTTGGTGCTTGCATTTCCATGTGGGCCGTGGTCACCGCTCACACGTCTTCGTGCCAGCTCCACATTGGACGAGAGACGACAACAGGGTAGAGTTTTGTTGAACTTTGCACTTTTGTTGGCCCGGATTCAGTTGAAGAGAGGAGCACATGTTTTATTGGAGAATCCGCGTTGTTCATTGGCATGGAGCCTTCCGGAGCTTGTGCAATTTGTTGAGCAGCCCAACATTGAGTGTGTTGATTTTGATCAGTGTGCATTCAAGTTGAGAAGCGCTGAGGGTTTGTTGCACAAGAAACCTACGAGGATTGCCACATCATCATCATGCATTGCTGATGAACTCCAAGGCATGGTGTGCTCCCGAGACCATGCACACCAGCCGGTTATTGGTGGCTCCAGAATCACCAGTCGAGCAGGGCATTATCCGGTCGCTCTTGCAAAGGCCATTGTCAGAGGTCTTGAGAAGCAGTTTCATGTTGATCATGGCCGCTGTCGAGAGGTGCTTGCAGTTGATGGGGCGGAGGAGGAACGGTCAGATGATGGAGGAGATTCGGTGATGGACCCCTTCAATTCTGAGTCAGAGACTTCTTCCATGGATGATGAAGGGTCACCAGAGACAAAGATCCCTTCAGCCATTCGCCTAGCTGTCAAGCGTCTGCATGAGAACACTGGACACAGGTCGAACAGACGACTGGCCCGAGCCTTGGTGTTGTCAGGAGCTCCCAAGGAGGTGGCGTTGGCCGCCAAATCCTTGAAGTGCAGCATTTGCGATGAAAAGAAACGCCCGAAGAGCAGGAGACCGACTTCTTTGCCCACACCAAAAGATGTCTCCGACCAGGTTCACCTGGATATCTTTGAGAGCGTTGATGTTTCAGAGCAGCGTTTCTACATTGTGCATTGTATTGATTGGACCAGTCGTTTTCAGATGGCAGAAGTTCTGGAGACAAAAGACTCTGACAGCATTGTCAACTGGTTCCAAGAGAGGTGGATGAGCATATTTGGCCCACCACGGGTCATTGTCGCTGACCAGGGACGCGAGTTCGTGTCCTGGGTTTTCCAAGAGATGTGCGACCGCCATTCGATCCTTTTGCACCACATCCCAGTGCAGGCACCATGGTGCAATGGTGTATGTGAGAGAGGAGGTGGGATACTGAAAGGTTTGCTGGAGTGTTGCGTCAAGAGTCGTTCAGTTGCAGGGCTTGCAGACATGAAAGTTGCGTTGCAAGAGTGCGTGCTAGCATACAATGCAGATATCAACGAACTTGGTGTCAGCCCAGCACAAGCAGCGATTGGTCGACAGCCACGGATGATTGGCGATGTTCTTGGAAACTTTGGTCAGAGGTTGGCAGAGCATGGTTTGATAGATGGCCGCCCTTCATTGGCCAGACAAGTTGCCCTACGTGAGACAGCCCGCATTGCCATGACGCGACTCCATTTTTCCAAAGGGATTCGCAAGGCAGAATTGGCAAGGTCTAGGAGCTCCACGATGACACAACAGTTGGAGCCGGGTGACATTGTGTATTTTTGGAGGGAGTCCAAATACAATTCTCGCACTTCGCCTTCCAAGAAGCGGTTGTCATTGAGGAGATGGCATGGGCCGGCTTTGTTGGTTGCGTTGGAAGGGCATAACGCTGGATATGTGTCCTTCAAGGGACAGCTGTCGAAGTGTGCTCGTGAACACCTCCGGAGTGCATCGTCGATGGAACAGATTTCAGCTGATGTCTGGCATGATGCTATACAAGAGTGTGTTGAGGCAGCATTACATGATGTTCGCAGGCCACAGTCAGAGGCCGTTCGTGGTGCTCCCATTACACCTGCATTGCCAGATGCCCGCGAGAGCTCAGATGCCATGCCAGCCATTCCCGAAACGAAGCCTTTTCATGATTTGCCTCCCGTTGCACCAGCCGAGGTTATTCAAGCCCTTGACGGCAATCAGTTGGATTTTGGAAGTGAGTTGCCAGCATCCAGTCTGAGTCGAAGAGCATCAGCTATGTCCTCAGCTGCTCGAGCACATTCAAGGCAATCGAGTGGTGCAGCACCTGGCACACCCGTGCCTGCCTTGATCACCGGTGCCAGTCAGGTTCCGGCTACCCCACCTTTGAGCAGTCGAATGGAGGAGTCAGTTGAAGCGGCTCGAGAGCTTGAGGCCGTGGGCAAGAAACGTGCAGCTGAGTTGGAAGCAGAAACACTTCGAGAAGGTTCTGGCTTTGAGGCTCATGTTGCCACCACAGTGCTCAAGAGCATTTTGAAGACCAAGAATGACTTAGTGTCACAGTATGCCAAAGCTCACAAGAATGACAGTCCCGTGGAGCCACAGTCACCACACTATGTGGACACCCTGGAAGCTGACATTCGTGATGGGTTGATGCACCCGTTGAAAGCCATACAGCAGCAAGTCGACCGTGACAAGCAAAACCCAGAGCTGGTTGAGGTACAGGATCATGGGAACTGGTCAGGTCAGTGGCCTTTGCCGTCCAGGAGCTCTTGGATGGCACATGAAACGTGCTGCGTGCTTTGGCCTTCTGGTGGACACGAAGTCAATGCAGCGAAAACCGCCAGACGTGAGGTCAAGTGGAGGAACATTCCCCTTCACGAACGTGATGCCTACCGCCAAGCTGCGGAGACAGGTTGGAAAGTGCAGACCGACAATGGAGCATTCGAGATTTTGACAGATGCTGAAGCTCAAAAGGTCAGAGCCCGGTTGAAGGCAGCAGGACAGATGAACAAAATCTTGACTCCCAGGTACATCTACACCGACAAGAATGATGGGTTGAGGTCGGACAGCAATCCACTACCGTTGCTTGCAAATGCTCGGGTTGTCATCCCGGGATATCAGGACGAGACTGCATATGCTGTGCGCAAAGATGCGCCAACAAGTTCAAGATGTTCACAACATATCTTGTTCATTACAGCTGCAGCCAAAGGATGGACATTATGGTCGGCAGACGTCAAATCGGCATTCCTCAAAGGAGAGTTGTTCCCGGAGGGTGAACGTGAGTTGTACATTGGAAACATCAGGGCTACGTCACCAGATGAGCCGTTGTTGCCTTTCAGCTCTCACGGACTAGCCAAAGTCCGGAAAGGAGTGTTCGGGTTAGCTGACTCGCCCAGACGTTGGTATTTGCGTTTGAACAAGTCATTGACAAGACTTGGTTGGGTGCGAAGCAGCATGGATGCAGCACAATGGTTCCTCAAGAGTCCCGAAGGAACATTGGATGGGATCGTCGTGAGCCACGTCGATGACCTGCTCATGGCCGGAACGGCCAAAGCCCATGCGACGCTCAAGGCATTGGGTGAAGAGTTGGGTTTCGGTTCATTGGAAACTGGAAGCTTCACATATTGTGGAAAGTTGGTGCAACAGTTGCCTGACAAAAGCATTGAAGTTAGCATGCGTGCATATCACGAAAACATGCAGCCAGTTTCCGTGCCCATTCACCGCAAGAAGCAGTTGGATGCACAGCTCACACCTTCAGAGCATCGCCAGTTGAGGGCGATCTTGGGGAGTTTGCAATGGGTTGTGGCCCAAGTGCGTTGGGACATGGGGTATCAGTTGAGTGTCCTACAAGGAGAGCCTCCGGTTGTCAAGACCCTTTTGAGGGCCAATGCATTGGTGAGGTTGATGAAGCAAGATGCTGGTTTCAAGTTGAAGTTCGGGCCTATGTGCTTGGATGGGGCTGGCATCCTTGTTGTTTCGGATGCGTCGTTGGGGAACGTGACACGTTCTGGAGGAGCTGACGGGAGCATCTTCACCAAAGTGTTTAGCCAAGCGGCTTACCTTGTGTTGGTTGGCGATCGTGACCTCATGGAGGGCCGTGAAGGAAAGTTTGGAGTCTTAGACTCCAGGAGCCATCGCTTGAGCAGAGTGTGCCGATCCACATTCGGCGCCGAATTGCTCGGTTCAGAGGAGGCATTTGATGCTGGCATGTTTTGTCGAGGCCTCTTTGCAGAAGCCCAAGGCTTTGATGTGTTGAGAGGAGACAGTTGCTATGCTGGCAGCGTGCCCCTTGGCTTGGTGTCGGACGCGAAGGACGTGTTCGACAAGAGCGTGTCGGATACACCGACCTATGGAAGCCAGAAATCTTTGGCTTTCTCGGTTGCATGGATTCGTGAGGTGCTCCGCAAAGATTGCACCAGGATCCATTGGACATCGACGGAGAACATGCTCATAGACTGCGGCACCAAAGAGATGAATGCAACGCATTTGAAAACGGTTTTGGACCGGGGCAGTTGGAGCATCACATACAATCCCAGCTATGTCAAGCAAACTTTGAAGCCTACAAAGCCCTTGCTGGCAAAAGCTCGGAACTCCGTCCTTCCAGGCCGCGTGTTGAATGGGGATGACCCCATCCTGAGCCACTTACAGAAGTTGGCCGAGCGACCGGGTTGGCATGTCCAGCATCCATATGGCATACACGTATGCCGGAACGCCGTCTCGTTTCGGACCCCCAATCCACGATTCTCGAAAGAACAATACCCACTCCGGACTTCGTATGGTAGGTTCGACAACGAGCTTCAAGCGGAATGGAGAATCCTGGAAGACAAGGTCAGGGACGGGAAGCTGGATAAGATAGGCGACATCGCCTCGGTGCTGGTCACATTCTTTGGTCCTGAAAGCCAAAACCCCAAAGACCAAGAAAAGAAGAGGTCCACTGAGAAAGTGCATTTGCCTTTGGGTTGACCTGTCAGGACCTTAGAACATGTTGATCCGCCGCCATTTGTTTCACGCAGGCCTAAGCCATTTACTTTTGCGCTACGCCACATCGAGCGAACAAGTGCCTTGTGTCGGTGCGTTCACAATAGTCATAGTTATTTAGTTATCTATAGTAATAGGTCATGATACCTATTTATATATATATATATGTACATGATATGGCTTTATAGATGCTGTATGTGTTTTTTCCATAAAGCCCTGCAGCTGTGCTGAGCCAACTAAAATCACCTAAACTCCGCCAGATTCCATGGCTGGCCATTTATGGAAACCATGATTTTGGAGAACATGATCCTTATGCCTTTTGCCCACATGCCTGTGCCTTAGACTGCTCGGCCCACCTTGAGCTTGTTGTACCTTGATCATCCTTAGCTTGATTCATTGCTCTGTAAGTGCTACCCCGGCTCATCTATATAAACCACCTGAAGGGACTGACTGGACCAACATCAACTTCTTAATCCTTATCCTTTGCGCATGTCATGATCATGTCTCCCTTACTGAAGGTTGCAAAAACGCCGCGGTCGCAAGCCGCGAGAAGCGAACTGAGGTGTTCCCCAACACCTTTGTCGGAAGCCAGGCTCCGATGCTCAAAAGCGGGTCAGCCAAACCGTTTTTGATCTTTATGCTCTGGGTTGCCCAGCCGGACTGGAAGGCATACTCAGGCAGCCAACTGAACAAGGCTCGCTCCGGACTCCAGACTCAAGAGATCATTCTGAATATTTCTGAATCAATGTTCAAACGGGACGAGGTGAGAGTTTGGCAGGAATTGAACATGTTTGTCATGTCCCACTTCCGCCAGATTTCCAGCTCGGCTACTTAGGTACATTCGCCGTGTAATTATCCTTTTGAACCCAATGGCGAACTTTGGCTGGCTGGTTTTCTTGCTTGGTTCTTTGCAAGGCTCGATCGCTGCACCCACCTCGGACGCGAAGGCTACGGCGGCCAAGCCAAAGCCGCATATCCTTTTCCTTCTCGCGGACGATTTGGGTTGGGCCAACATCGGCTTTCACAGAACCAGTGCTACAACTGAAGATGAGAAGCAAGGGCAGCTAGAGGTGCAGACACCGACCATCAATCAGCTGGTGAGCGAAGGCCAGCGTTCCGATGTCGAGTCAGTCAATGATTTCATGATTTCAGAGTAAGGCCATAAACTTCTTGGTGTGTTGTTTTTTTGGTGCTTTCAGCGAATCGAGGGGCCGTTTTGGCAGAGTGATGCGAAGTCGAAACGACCGAATTTCTGTCAGGTGTCGTTTTGGATCGCCACTACTCCTACCGTATTTGTGGCCCTGCACGTTCGGCTTTGCTCTCGGGCCGCTTGGCACCACACGTCCTGGTGAAGAACGTGGCTGTGACGGCTTCCAATCCGGAAGATCCGGTGAGTGGTTTCGCAGGCATCCCACGCAACATGACCGGCATGGGCGCGAAGGTGCGCGCGGGTGGCTACAAGACTCACTACACCGGAAAGTGGGATGCTGGTATGGCAACCCCGCAGCACACACCTTATGGCCGTGGATTTGATAGCAGCTTCATTTATTACCAGCATGCCAATGATTATTGGAACAAGAAGACGGGAATTCAGGCAACCGGTGAAATCACGACATGCCTCAATGCATTCTATGACCTGATGATCGAGAATCACACCTACCGAGGGCCATACAAAGGAGCAGCGCTGACTGATGCGTGCAAGGACAGCACTGAGCCAACACCCTACTGCTATGAAGAAAAGATGTTTGAAGAACATTCGCTTCAGATCATTAACAACCATAATACCTCAGATGTGGAGCACCCACTCTTCTTGTTCCATGCGTTCCACCTGCTGCACACACCGTTGCAAGTGCCTAAGTACTACTATGAACAGATCGAGAAGGATGTGATTCAGCGCGGTGGAAAGGCATTTGATTCCCAGAATCGCCGCATGCTTATGGCCATGACCAAGTACATGGACGACACGATCAAGAACCTCACTGCAGCATTCAAGGCCAAGGGCATGTGGAACAATACGTTGGTGGTCTTCACTACCGACAATGGAGGCCCGATCTATGAGCCAGGGTCAGCCAACAACTACCCATTGAGAGGTGGCAAATACTCCGACTTCGAGGGAGGAGTGAGGACCACAACCTTCATTTCTGGCGGATATATCCCTGAGGCTCGACGAGGACATGTGCACAACGGCATTGTCTCCGTGGCTGATTGGTACACCATCTTCTCTGAGTTGGCGGGAGTGGATCCCCGTGACACTCAAGCAGAGGAGGCCAATAAGTGGCTGAAAGAGCAAGGTCTCAGCTTGTTGGCACCCGTGGATGGAAAAGCTGGCCAACTCGACGCGACTCTCGGAGGAACCGCCGGACCCCGCGATTCGGAGCCACTCTTCCTTTCTGGGAGTGCCCTTCTGGAGTACCCTTACAAGCTGGTGACCGGCAAGCAGCCTTACATGGTTCACACCGGACCCTTGTACCCAAACTGCAGCACCATCGGGTCAATGCAGAAGGGCAATGGGCCTGATTTCATCGACTTTTCCGTTCTGGAAGAGAAGATTGACCTTGGGGACAGCCATTACTGGCGAGGACAGCTTCATTTTCTTTACATGTTTTCCGTTATCATCCCTTTTTTCACTGGTTTGTGCCTTAACTCATGCCTTAACGGTCTTTCGATTCAATGGCCTCCGCAGCCAACAAGGAGACTGTGAAGCTGGCTGCCTGTTCAATGTGGAAGAAGACCCCTCGGAGTCCATTGATCTTTCCCATGACCCGGCCCAGAAGGAGACACAAACCATACATATAAAAATATATAAAATCACACAGATACTACCATATGGTCTCCCGCCCTCGGGATTAAAGAGTAACACACCGGCATTTTCTTATTCCGTAGTGTTTCGGCTTTAGATGTCCTGCAGCGGGTGCTACAACCGGTTGGAATTGCCTGTCGGTACTTCGGGGAGGTGTGATCCCTGCTATTTGGCCAAGAAGATCCAGACCGTGGTGAGCAACAGGTATCCCACTGCGAAAAGCCGTGAGCTCATTTCTTACTTGGCACAGGTATTAACGACCCTGGAGAGCGATTGCGAGCTGTTCGAAGCAGATCGCACGGCGGGGCTGGTCGACGCTCAGGGCTACTTGGTCGTGAAGAAGAGCGACAAACCTCAGGTATCCTCAGGTAAAGAAGGAGGAGAAGCCAGAAGAAAAGGCTGAACCGGTTTCGGGGGAACACCCTGGGCACGAGGACCCGGCCGCAGGACCGTAGGTCAGAAAAGGAGGTGGCTGAGACCAACGTGAAGGACAAGGCTTCATCGGCGCGATCCCCATCGAGACATCGAAGGAGGAGACGGAGCAGGAGCCGCAGGCGCGACAAAAAGAAGGAGCGGGGCAAGGCAAGCCCTGAAGTGAAGCCGAAGAAGGAGGAGATTCCCGCGGCTGATCCCGACGTCGGGGACGAATTCGAAGCCCTCGAGGAGGAAGAAGAAGAGGATCCGGAGGCCGGCAGTCAGGACGACGAAGTCGAGAAGCACCCGGAGAAGTTCGAGTTGCGACAGATTGCAAAACCTTCGCCTCGCAAACCACTGCCAAGAAGACCTCGGTCTCCATCCGTGTCTCCACCGGGTTATCGTTCCCGTGATCCAGCTCCGATCAAGAGGTGGAAAGGGTGGCAGCACGTCTATAGAGGCCAGGAAAGGCAGGCGAAAGGCAAAGGGAAGGGAGGAAAAGGCCGACCCTCCAAGGGGAAGTCATGGCGCCGAAAGTGAACCGGCGACCAGCAGGGGCCCCTCGGCCCCCTCATGTACTTCGACGGCTCGCAGTGCTCGTTACAGACGAAGAAGATCGGGGCGGGGAAGCCCTGAGAGAGGACGATGTGGCTATTGGCGCCCTGGTTCACGGGGAGGAGGCCGTCTACTTCAATGCCTCTTGCCAGTTCAGCGGGGAGGTGCTCGAGACGTCAAGGGACGCATCAGGCCGGTACCTCAACCTGAAACTCACGGGCACCAACCTCGAGAGCCTTTTGACATGGGGGACGGGCACCAAGCATCCAGCTCGCGTACATCTATGTCCAGCCGAGTGCAAACAAGAACCCGTGCAACGCAGGAAGTATCGCATCATTGCAGGAAGTATCGCATCATCGCGTCCCTGGACGAGTTGGCAGGGCATCCATGGAGGGATGTGCTGATCAGTGCTGTCCCCCGGGAAGGGGACGAACTGGCTGGACTTCGAGGGCGCATGAAGGACCTTCCAAACCTACCGCCAGGCGTGGAAGCAGTTGCCGCGAAGCAGGTCGAGAAGGCCGAGTCAAAAGTGAAAGACAAAAAGAAACGGAAGAGACGGAAATCCCGAAGAGGTCGGGCGAAGAGCCCTGGGCGAAGCCGGTCGACTTCGAGCTCCAGTTCAACCACAGCCTACCGCCCGGTCGATCAAAAGAGGATGTTTGGCCGCAGCGGACTCGACCCAGTGAAAAGGTCCCGCAATCGTCAGAGGAGAAGGGCGCAACGCTATGCTCAGAGCAGCCGCAGCAAGAAGCGAGACAGCGAAAGCAGTTCCAGTGGCGATGCAATGGGTTTGAAAGGGCAAACAATTTTCGGGGAGCCTCAACGGGTGAGGGCAGTGGCCCTAAATTTCCCTAGTGTCCTGTCGGCCCAAGCCATAGAGGACATGCAAGAGTTGACGCTTACAGAGGCAGGTCAGCAGTCTGCTCAACGGGAGGGTTGGATGCCCACGCTGCTACGTTACTACCGCCAAATGCTCAGCCGCAAGGTCACAGGAGCGATGAACAGGGAGTTGCTTGCATACCTTATGTACAGTGGGCGATTTGGTACTACGCGCTCCTGCCAGATGCGATGGACACCCTCATTCAGAGGGTCAAGTCCTTAGAAGCCCAGGCAGGAGGGCTTCCATGGACATCAGCTCAGCGCCTGGAACTTCTCCCTAGCGACACTGCCTCATTGTCGTCGAGGCAGGAGCGACACTGCCTCATTGTCGTCGAGGCAGGAGCTCAAGATCGCAACTTCGGAGCAGCGGGCCGAGCTTCAGGCGCATCAGTCGGGCGCCTGGTGGACCACAAGTAGCGGAAAAGACAGCCACAAGGGGGAGAAGAACGAGAAGGGCACAGGAAAAGGAAAAAAGGGAAAGGAGTCGCCCAAGAAAGAACAGAGGGATTCGATTCCCAGGTGATGGGGACGGGGCGGCCCTGCCCTGTTGAGTTTGAAGAGTATGAGATTGACCGCATTGTATTTGGCACGGGGTTGGATGACCCTGATGGGATGATTGCAGGAGCCCGGGGTTTTGACCCTGATACAGAATGGGATGACAGTATGACAGTGTGTGGCGCTATTTTGAAGAAGCTGACGCATGCTGCAAAAGGGCCCTTGAGGCATCACGGGGACACAACGAAGACGGGGTTTTTGCACCCTGTAAGCCGATGAGGTGGATGATAAATGCCCATCTCCATGGTCGGCAGCTTTTTTCAAGGAAAGTTGGTCGGCCTGGCTGTTGACAGTCGCTGGCCACAGCCAGGTGTGTGCCTGATGAACACGGGGATGCACCCCTCGGACCGAGAGGTTTTGAAAAAAAGGCGTGATTGGCCTGCAGCTTCGGGAGAAGGGACGGATATTGGGGCGGAACTTGTGGGGGTCTTGGTCGCTCTGCAGCTAGTCCTCAAAGCCACGGAACGTGGCTCCGATTATTCCTCTTCCGACCCACCATGAGCTCATGAGCCCTTTGCCATGGAGACTTCAAGCATTGACTGTTGACTAAGTGATCGCATTTTGCGTGGGATTAGATTTAATTTAGAGATGCCGGAGACCCGTTTGCCAGGATTGTGCCAATGCGGGATCGCTTTCATCGGTCTCGGGGGTGCGAGCCATACCAACCGGAGCTTGGCGGGAGAGGTGACTAGGCTCAAAGACCCCAAGGGGGTGACGGACTTTTTGGACTGAGAGGACATCTTCGGGACCCGAATCCTTGTTTTCTTTCCCGCTAGCTCGCTATTACCTAGTGTTTGAAGGCCCTTTGTTGATTAAAGGGTCGTTGTCTTAATGAGATCCGGTAGTTCGTTGCACAGGATTTGATAGATGGTAGGGTCCTTGGAGAGAGGCCCGAATCCGAACTCGTCGGTGAGGGGCCCGAAGTGTGGCTCAACGCTCTCCCATTGGGGTTGGACACACACTTTTTCTCGTCCCGGCTAGTTTCCCCACTTGCGCATCGGCAAGCGTCTCCCATCTTCCCTCGTGCCATTGGACTTCCGGGGAGAAGGTCTTCGTCCCCGTACAAAGGTATTGCCCAAGGTGCTGTTGAAGTCGGAAGGCATTGTATAACTTGTTCACTACGCAGAGGTATAGCACTTGCAGGGACACGTCCACTGGCATGACACGGGGAGGTGGGAGCCCCGAATCGAGAAGGTATAGCGGGTGGGGCGAACAATGTGGCGAGTATACTTGCAACTTTCGATGTGCCGGAGGAGTTCCCGAGTGAAACCCTACTCGGGGTATTTGGGGAGGTGATCCCTGATGAGAGGTTTTTCAGGGAGGAACAACAGGTTGAGAAGCTCTACCAAGCACCCAGGTAAGGCAAACAGCCGACAGGTAGTCGCAGTGGAGCAGGGCTTTGTGATGGATGGTTTGCGAGGTATGGTTTACCCTATGTGACAGAGGCAGTCCAACTACTTTATTGTCACTCTATCCATGGACAACACCGTGGCCGCTCAACGTTAAATGTAATTAGTACGCGGAGGCCTCGGGCACCTGGCACCCCTCCGCCGCAAACTTGGTGAATGACTCCACTCATTCTGGGCGTTCTTAGCGTCTCGAACGTCCGTGGGCGCCATCGGCTTCCTGTCTAAAAGGGTGTTAACATGGAGAGGCCAAGGAGGACGACGTGGTCACATGGTCGTGGGCGCACGAGAAGGTGGACATGGTCGTCAACGGGGCTGGTTGGGCCTGGCAGGGTTTATCAGAGGTGAACAGGCGACAAAGGGGGCCCTGCAGAGAGGTCGGGGCTATGCGCTTGGGTCAGTGGGCCACAGGCGCTGGAACGTGTTGACGATGACGGAGGGCGTCGCTCGATGGATGTGGCGGAGAAACCCTTCACGACGAGCTCATTCGGGGAAGACCCCTGGCGCGTTGACGCGAAGATTTTTAGTTGTAGCAACCGACCTAGATTATCATGAGTTCTATGGACGCTCAAGCTGAGGGAGGAGATCGCCAACCGGCCAAATCGCGTGGTCCTTTTGATCGGGGAAAAAAAGCCCTGGATATAGGCTGCGGGCAGAAGATTTGGAGCAGGGTGGACCCCTCGCAATCGTTTCAATCTTTTACGACATCGCAACCCCAGGTTTCATAAGACTCTGGTTCCCAACTGCGTTTCACCTCACGGTAAACCCTAAGAGACGGTCTTGTCGAGATGTTTTGAAGGGGGACAGGTCAGGGTGAGAGCCTGTCTGGGGTCCATGGGTTGGACTGCCGTGTCTTCACCTTTTTGATCAGGGGACGAGCATCTCGTTTCTGGAGGGGCTACCCCGGCTAGGGGGGCGAGTGTAGGCAACCGTTAGCCTGTTGGAGATAGTTGACTGTTTAATTTTCTGAAGACACGTGGCAGGTACAACCAAAGGTGGTAGGTTACCTAGCCTTTTCAAGGCCAAGGCGGTTCTGGATAAAAAGGTGAGCTCTTCACATCAAGGGTCACCTTACAACTGCCCTACTTAGCAAGGTCGGCCGGAGCCGGTACCCTGGGCATGGACGCGTTTGCTACTATTTTCATTGCGGGCTGCCAACAAAGTTTTAATTTCAGGCAAGTAGACGTACTTGGACGTCATTCTGAGATTTCAGCCAAGCTTCGCGCAGCTATCATTTCCATGAAGGCAGGTAGAAATGCTAGTGTACAGGAAACTATTTCCTAAGCCATGAGACCGCCGGTCCTGTTTTACAACTTTGGATTGAACCTGCATCCACACACTAGAGATTGCGTCTATCGCCTCCGCATGGGCGAAAATGTTTATCTCTGACGTTCGGTCGCTCGGGCGCGGCGTGAGCGGCGCCGCGAGCTGCGTGTCCGGCCGCGAGGCGGCTCAAGTCTCTGAAAAGGGGCGAGCAAGGTCAGCCGCCCTCCTAATGGGTCGAGATGATGTCCATCTCCGCAAAAGCCGACGACCAAGGTCGAGATGAGAAGGGTTCAAATCGATAGGAATACCAAACATAGGGGTATGGATACCAAGACCAAGCAAAACACCCGAGGGAACCCGAACAAAATCGACGTCCAACTGACGACAGAGATCGGTAAGAGCAACCCTAACCATATCGACCATGGTGGTGACCGTCGGTCGAACAAAAAGGTCCTGTACCTGCCTCATGACTCTGCGGCCTCCAACTTCTTCAAAGGGAAACAAGCCGGAGTCAACAAAAGCGTAAAGAAAAACGAATTCGAGAAAGCTACAAACGGTTCTACGGCTCTCAGGACCTCCGCTGCGGCGCAGCCAGCCGACCAGCTCCTTGTAGAAAGCGGGCGGCAAACGGCCTGGCTCCACCTGAAGGTCTCCTGTCGTCACCAGTGCAGTCGTCAGGGTAGGTGGAAGTCCTGAGTCGGTGTCACTGGAAATGACAGTCTCAATGTGCTCTTCTTCGGTAGTTCGCAAATCTCCTGCAGAAACAATGAACTGCAACAAATGTTCTTGGCGGTGTCGCCAGCAAATATCGTAAGCGGCGACCCGTTCAAACAATGCCAACACTTGTGAAGGACGGTTGGAGTTCATGTATCCAGCAATTCGATCTGCGACATCGTTCCACTTACGAAGCCAGTCTTCAAATGGCGATTCGCAGTGCCTCTCATCAAGGTGACTGGGCACCCAATGGAAATAAAACTGTCCGACTTCTGAGGCATCCAGGGCTGCGCTGAGCCCCAGCCAAAGGTCCTGGTGCTCCCATGTGTGTGGTATGACCCCCGTGTTCTGCACAAAGGCGGCCCCAAGTGCAATATGCTGGGAATCCGACCACACATGAACTTCAGCTTGTGTCTCAAGCAGTCCCCATCTGACCGTGCTCACAAGGGCGGTGAGCTCCGCCCTACCTATTGACTGGCATGGACCATGAAGAGGGGCTCCACAAATGACTTGACCCGTAGTAGCACTCACCGAGGCCCATGCAGAGTGAGCAACCCGGGATTGTCTATGTTGAAAATGAGCTCCATCCGTAAAAACATGGTTCTGGCCAAAACATGGTCTGGACAAAAACTCAGTCGTACAATCTGGCAGTGCGTCAAAGTAAGCAGCGAGTTCGGTCACCAGCGCAGCTTGTGGCAGCAAAACATGGTTTTTAAAACAACGGGGCCAAGAGTCAAAATCAGGGAAAGTGGCTCTAAAGGGTCCATTGAGGGAAACCAAAAGGGGGCATGAAAACCAATGTTCAAGTGTGTCAGGGCACTGACAGTGATGACACAACCGATCAATGGCAACATCATACCTGCCGAACTTCGCATTGTCAATGTAGCACCCGCTCGAGATGGCTGACAGCTGTGCTTTCTCCAAAGAAGAAAGTGAGCGTGTGAAGCTCCGATGTGCCCAAAGGTCGATACCATGTAGATCTTCGGCAGTTTTGCGGCTACGAAAGCCTTGTGCAACACGCCAAGCCCATGCATCCAGCAAACGATGTTCACACCAGTGCCAAGGAACCTTGAGCAGAGACCATTCAACCTGCCAGTGGTCCAGGATCCTGTCTGCGCTGAGAAAACTCCAACCAAGATGCGATGTCATTTCAAGCATCTTAGAGAAAGGGCCCGCTAGCAGATCTCCATTGTAGGCAGCTAAAAACGTAGCCCAATGCATGAAAAAGTCAGAGGACTTCCTGCAAAGCCTCCTGAAATCCATGAGGACAGTCTTGTGGTGCCATAGCAGAGGATCCGAAAACGGCATATCAGAGAGCAGGAATCTCATGGCAGGGGATGATCCCGCCTTCCTCCAGCCCAAAGCCAAAGCGGCTTTGCGACGCAAGACATCCAGGTGTGAGTAAGCGAACCTGCAGGAAAGAATGCCATGTAACCCCTCCGGCCAAAACACAGTAGAAAGCGCAAGCAACTTCTGTGTCAAAGAGGCAGCAGATCTCTTCAATACTGGCCAACGATCATCTAGGCGCGACATCCTGTCTTTGATGTCGCAAACCCTTGGTCGTGCGCCAAAGGTGAGTGATCCACCAAGTTCTTTGGCATGTTCAAGTCGTTGAAGTGGGAACTGTGCAAGAGCCTTGCGATTGTCGCCATCAACAGCCCAGCAGTAAGATTTGTCAAGGTCAATTTCCAATCTCCAAAGTTTGAAGAAGGAGGTCATGGTGGAGAACCCAATTGCAAGTGAGCCCGCATCCAAACTCAAAAGGCCCAGATTGTCGACATAACTGTAGGCATTGACCGAAGGGCAGAACTGTTGAGCATAAATGTGCCAGGTCCAGTCCAAGATACACATCGCAAACACTGAAAGAGCATCTCCTTCAGGGAAGCCAACGGTGCTGAGCGAGCACTGACTGAGCCCCCCCTGCACCACAAAGGTCCGCGACATGGTCGACAGAAAGGTGGCCCATGGCCCCGTCACGGAGCCAGGCGTACCAATATAGTCGATCATCCAGAACAAAGGAGCCCTGGGCAGACAATTGAAAGCCCGTACTATGTCAGAGCTCAATCCACATAGAGCGGAACCACCTCTGCAACTGAGTTCGATCAGTGCTTGCCAGTATGCCCAAATGCCAGCTGCTTCCTGTCCAGGGATAAAGCCGACTTGTTCAGCAGGGAGGTACTGCGACAACTGCGCCAGGAGCTGTCGGCTGCGAATGCTGCCCCACGTTCTATAAAGCAAGCTGAGGACAACAATAGGCCTGAAAGAGGCAACCTCATGTGCATCTGGAGTTTTGGCAAGTGCCTGAATGAGGCCAGTATGAGTTTGAGATGGCCAAGGGGCCCCAGCCTCAATGGAGGAGAGCATGGTGAGCAATGATGCAGTAAGCGCGGAGGGCATATGGAGAAAGTCACGATGGTCCAGTCCATCAACCCCTCTGGCCGCGGTGGGCTTGTACCGTCTCAGTGCTTTTTGCCAATGTGAAGGCTGGATGGCCGGAAGATCAAAGCTGATAGGCCGCATGTGCGCCTTGGCGAAATTGACGATGCGTAGCCAATCTTCTTCAGGGATATCACTGTAAGCATTCCAGCGAGGACGCCAGAAATCAACAAAGGCTTGGTGGACCTCCGTCAAGTCGGAAAGGACCTGATGCTGGTGAAGTTCATCGCCAGGAATCAGCTGAGTAGGCAAGGAAGAGACCTGACAAATATCATCTTCGGACTCCATGACGGTTGTTCGCACCCCATTGATGGTCCATGTGGACTGTCCATGGAGGTCGAGCGGTCGGTCCAAGTGAAGGGACCCAGTGGAGGGCTCAAAGTCCAGGATGGTGTAGTAGTGGTCGTGCCACAAAAGATCAGGTTTGGCTTTGGGTTGCCTACGGAGTTCACCATAGAGGCCTGCCATGGATGCATCGTGCTTGGCCTTCAGAACTCGGCAGCGTTGTCTAATATGCCAAGATTCAAGTCGGTCAAAACGGTCCCGAAAGGTAGCATAGATACGGTCAATGCCTTCACACGAGGGGATGGCAATAGGAAGAACAGGAGGATCATGAGGAGTCCCGTCTTCATAGCCAATGTTCCAGAAGGTGCGGAAGCCCTTGTCGAATCCTCTGGCTCGGAGAATGGAACTCCAATGCTCGCAACGAGCTACCTGTGCGGAGGTATAGTCGTTGTTAGCATGGATGGCATGTCGTAGAGATTGAATGCGACGAAGTTGCTTGAACCAATCTCGGACAGCCAGTGTAGTATGGTCAGCCCTAAGTTGGACTTCCCCCTGCCGGCTAGGTCGGGAAAAGTGCACCTGAGTGTCAGTGAGATCAGGACTGGTTCGCTGTGCCCGTCCGCGTTGATGAGGAAGGAGATTGCCCCCAGGTTGTCCTCGTACGCGGCCTTGCAAACAGGACTCCAGCTGTTGACCAATGTGGCGATAGGTGCAAGTAGTGGATCCAGTGGTGTCAATGCCAACGGTCGTCTGGTCAAGGCCATCACATTGCACCTGGTCCCAAGGTATACGTGCAGGTAGAGGCCAGTGAAAGACTTGTCGCACCTTCACATCACAGGAAAAGTCAACCGCAACGGTGGCATGTTCAATGAAGATGTCCAGGACTTCAATGTGGCAGCAAAGAGCTTGCGCTTCAGGGCTCAGCCAAATGAAGTCTCTCTCAGTGGCCCCTTTGCAAGTAGGCTTGACCAAATGTCCCCAGTGGAAGGAGGCGAAGCGCTGAGCCGAAATCCATCCAAATTGACGCCAAATTTCAAAGGAGTCAAGTTCATCTTCAGAAAAGTTGAAGTCACCGCAAATGGTGCGGATGCCAAATCCACCGATGACAAAGTGGCTTGTGACAGTGGAAAGCAGGTTCTCTGTGAGCTGCTTGGCCTTCGGCCATGTAGGGCCTCGGCAGTACCCATAGGCGTTGATCACCTGTAGCTTTGTGTTTCCAAGCAGGTGAGCAGAAGCAACGATTCTGCCGGACTCTTGTTCAGAGCATTGCCATGGCATGGAAAGCTTTTGACAGGGTACGTCAGAGGTGGTGAGAACACCAGCCCAGGTGCCTGCCCAGCTGGAACCCGTACGGCATGCGACGGGAGGGCCAGAGACACAGCGAAGAAGGCGATGGCATTGAGCGGCTTGGGATCGCAGAGCGGCCTGACATCGAGGAAGCGTAACGAAGGAGAGCTGTGTCTCGGAGAGACAATGTACTCCGGGTCCAAGCTCAATGAGGTGTGCTTCTTTGCCACGGAGGCCTGAGGGATTGGAAGTGGTAAGCCGAAGAGTGCCCAACGGCGGCCCGGGCACAGCGGCTTCTCCAATTCGGTCAAAGTGAGCGGCGCAACCGATGTGTGGAATGGCGGCCAGAAGTAGAAGAAGCTGAAAAGAAGAAGTATGTCTGCGTGTGGAGGCATATGTCAGTCGATCACCCGAGGCAACCCCACCAGTGGTGTACGACTGCGCACTAGTATGCCTGAAACTGATCATCTTAGGTCCTCTGTAGAGTATCGCGCCAATGCCACTGTGAGGCATGGAGCGATGAAAGAGGTTCAAAGCAAAAGTGATGGCCGTGTAGGCACCCCAAGGAACAAAGCCCGAC